CGTCATTTTTTTTTGTTATTGAAAATTTGGACGTATGCGTCCGAACCACTAGGCGGCGACAATGAAAGAGTTACTTCCACCGGTTTAAAAAAAATGGCGCAAGCAGGGACCTCTTCTTTTTGTAGTGTACCAGGCTGTTCTTGTAATGCCCAAAAGCAGTCACATCTATCTTTTCATTCCTTCCCTGTTAATGGTGAAGTTCGACGTAAATGGATTCAGGCTATCCGGCGGGATGAAGGACCAAACTTCACAGTTAAAAAGGGGAGCACTTACGTCTGCAGCAGACACTTCACCTCAGACAGAAGCAAACACCGTATTTTAAGCACAAATGACAGAAGGCCCAAACTTTTAAATAACTAGAGGCATGCCCGAGCGAAACACTGTCAAAAAGAGCAAATGCGAAACAAGCACAAATATTTTAGATCAAGTTTTTACAAACGAGAGAAAGCCGTAATCAGCTTAACAGTTTTATTTCATTGTAAAATACAAAAAGTATTTCACCAAACGCGAAGATCCATTGATAGCGGCTCTGAGTTCCGTCGATGTGCTTAGAGTGTTTTATTTAAAATAACACATTTGCCGAAAAGTGCTTCATTACTTTAAAAACATTATGGTTAAGGGGTTTATTTGAAACATGGCAGTAGTCTAATATACCGGGCATAGCTAATAAATGTAATTAGAAAAAACGGGGCCAACTTCTTTAAAATTAACAAAACACAGCTAAAATGTTTTTTGATGCTTGTTGCTAAATTTTGCTCACTAGTTCCTACAGCTACTCAATTCTTGTTGCCTAAATGATTTACATCACGCTCACACTATTTAAAAACTTCGCTACAACAAAGCGATCCTTATACATTTTAAGTGTTTTTTTGATTTAGTTTGATTATCAAACTCTAAAGCCCCACTCTTGGTTGTGCGTTTGTGCAAATGTCCGGGCTTTTCTGTGTGCGTGTGTAGGGTGTTCATCTTGCGTCTAATGTTAAAGTATATATATTTATACTCATTTAAAATAACACATTTTTGTTTGCCTATTAACAAATACATCTAAAGTTTTTCTACCTTCAAACATTAACAAAAGCCGTTAATGTCTTTCCTTTAAAAATTACATGTGGTGAACAATTCAGTAACAGTTACCTTGATACTTATGGACAAATTCTTCGTGGAAAAATTTGTAGCCTTTATCAAGTTTGCTCTTTCTCGTGACGGAGTTTTCCTCCATGAGTTTAGCAACATCTGCAAATGTAAATTTGGGCAAATTTGTCAGATAGGTTGTATATATTCTCTGCTGAATTTTCTCTGATCCCGGATTTTCTAATGCATTGACGCTTGACCGGAACTAAGTTTACCCTACGATTACGTATTTCCGGTTTTCGTGAAAAAGGTCTATTCTTTCGCGCGAAAGGGAAACACACTGACGTCACATACGGGGCACGAGGCTACATTGCGCATGTCATGAACCGTCGAACCGTGCGACGCATGCATGCTCCGAACCGAGACAAGTTTACCGAACGGTTCGGTTTTTTTTCATGAACCGTGCCATCCCTACCCATTATCATTATTATTGACATACAGTGCGGTTTATAATTATTGACACAACTTTATTTCCCCTCTCCATGTGTTAATATGATATCAATGATGTAAATATAATTTTAATTTAGTCACTGCTTATTGTTAGCCATTTAACCTCTGTTAAAATATGTGCATATGTGTTTGTCTGTGGTTCAGCTAGTAAAATCTATTTAAAAAATTGAGATATTTATAAAGATCACAATATGCCTCCTTAATATTTTAGGCATATTACTAATCTGCTTACCAAATTGTGGGCGCAAGAAAACGTCCATATAGTACAGAAAGCTGGCATCCGTCATCTAAAGTCCTGGTGATTAATGCGCATGAGCCATATAATCACAATGATATATCGTGCTGTCCTACTTAAGATGAACGGTGTGTCATGATTCATTAATGATGAACAAACATGGTTAATCAGTATTTCACTTGTTATTCATTACTTGTTCCTTCAATTGTTCCTTCAGTAGTTTTTTCAGTTGTTCACTAAGACTTATAGAATTAGATATAGTGACTGCTTGAGATAAATGATACATCAAAATTCATTAAAGGTGAACAAATATGAAATCAGTTTGTAACTAACATGCAAGTTGAGCATAATTAATACATAAGTAATACCATAACATTATTTGTGTCCCCCTCAAGTAAAGTGTTAGCCAAAAATTTTAAGTGAGGAATTAAATATGTTACAGCCTCACAACACTGCTGCACTGAGAAAATACCTTTAGGTAACTGGGCATTGCCACTGCAATAACAAATAACATCATAATGTAAACTATATTCACTTCATCATCTCACTCTTACTATAATTATTACTTTTAGAAATGCAAAATAACATCTGTAAACAATGTATAATCTATGTTTTTCTCCTGAGCAATTTTAGAGAATTTACGGTACACACGTACTCTACAGAACAAATTCAGGTCAAATATAACAGCAGACGTATCAAGAACACTTTAATGACCTTCATAACTCATCCACGGCACAACATCATACATATTACTGACACGTGAGGCTCCATGAAATGTTCTGAATATGGGCTCGGTTTGTAAACGACGCAATGAATCACTTCAAACTTAAGAGGCGTGAGAGCCGTCAGGGGTTGTAACGCGAAATAACTGCTAAAAAAATCAGCGCAAATCGTGACTCGACTTAAAAGGTTCAAGCCCATCGCGGCTAGCTGCCTTTTTTCTTGTAGTTTCACACATCTGTCGAGCGTGAATGCGGGGAGAGATGAAACGCTTTTGCATTGTTTATAGATGGCGAAATGAACCGTGTTTGCAGCGTGCTGGAGACGCAGATCGGCCGGACCCTGAGTGCTTTGTTTTCGCAGACCGCAGTGCCAGCACCCGGCGGAGAGATCGGCTCACACAACCCGCTGTTAACTAACCTTGAGACCACACGCCAGGCGCTCCAGCTGCGCTTCCCAGCACCGCGATCCGGGATTTGGGTTTTATCTTTTGTTAATGATTGTACGGCTGTTTGCGTTGCTATTCCTTAGGGCTCGACAGGAAAACAAGGCGGAGGAAGGTGGCTTGGTCTCGGTCGCACACGATTGGCCGGACAGCGACATCTCCAGTAGATGTCTACACACTATTGTAAATTCAAAATTTAACCCTCTGGATACCTGACCTCTGATAAAATGATAGAAAACGATACTTGCGGTTTAAATTGCAAGTTTTATTGGCGCTGTTTTGCGATAAGTTACTTAAACTAGACGTGATGCATGATCAACGATTTTAAAATAGTATTAAAAACTTTACTTACCTGATCGGGAATCTCAGCAGATAGCCACGGTGGAGATGAATACAGGACGGCAACTGGCTGCGCGGCCACCTTTTACAGAAGCGCAGAAAGCAAGCGTGAAGATTGGGAAAGCGTAGCACTGTATTTTTTTTTTAGATATATAAATTATGAAAGAGGTCTTGTTGAATCGGTGTCATTGTGCGGCGTGCGTCCTTAAAAATACACGTCACCTCCCTTGGCAACACGCCGGACGTCGTTGTCCCGATCTCTGATTGGACCATGCTGTAGAGCTCTACTCAGCCACTCTTCTACCGTAATGTCTATAATACCCCGAGCATGGCTTGATGTACTCGTCTTAATTAACTTTAATATTGTGTATTTTGCGAAAATGCACGTCTTTTACTTTAGGTATTAGCCACTGAAAACTTTTATTATTAAGCTGACATTGCTATTTGCGTAAGTAATCACAAGCACAACAGAGCATCGCGCATTTCCTGAAATCTCCTTAAATCTTTTTTTTCTCTTCACCCGTCGGCGCCATTTTGGATCACTAACATTTTATGTACGAGAAAATGTTCTAGAAGAACTTGGAACGCTATCCATGTGTTATGTGTCATATGTCATAATTCAAATAATCATATCAAAGTGTTTTGTATTATAAGCATGTTTGTACTGTGTAATGCTTATTTGCATGTGTTTTGATTCAACATATTAGTACTTTGTGATTAAGATATTAACATTTTCTTTTTGAAGACTTGGACATACTGATTTACAAAGCCATTGAGTAGAGACATTGTGTGCCTGCTTGAATTGGATATTAATGATGATGGCTGAAATATCAAATGAAGCAGGCTTAGCCTCTACCCTTGATCCACCCCAACACAGATACATATCTTTCAAAGATCCTATAAGCTAATTCAGACAACAGTTCACTAAAGTAAATGTGACATGTTTGCTTATTTATGTCACTTTCAATTAGGCTGTCCAGCGGCATGACTCTAAAAAAGAGAACCAAGGGTAAAAAGGGCACATTAGCCAATAACACTATGTGCATTTATTCACTTAATCCAGTGATACAGTCCAGGGACCGACAGAAACTCCTTCACACTAGAACTACTGAGCTTTTTATTTTCTGGTGAAAAATACCTAGAACTAGAACCTAGAAATAAGGGGCAGCGTGTGGCTCAGTGGGCTAAGCCTGTGTATAATTATTATAACTACTAAGCCTGCGCAGATTTGGACAGGCCTTCAGCTCCATTGTCGTCCTCCTTTTGTTGTGCAAACATACTAATCACCTGTGAACCCTGACACATTTGCATTCACTCAAGACTGGCAGCTCAAATCCATGGCAGCCCAAACCTATGTGTGTGATATGGAAACCTTCACAAAAGCCTGCCATATCTATACAAAATATCCCACACAGTGACTGACCTGCAAATATGAAACACACACATTCATAAAATATATGGAAACACAAGTCTGTTTTATTTATAAAAACAGAGTGAAAATAGAATGAAAAGTTGCTAATAGAATGAAATTAATAGAATGAAAACATGCTAACACATCAGTCTCCAATGTATGTTTGTACCCAAATGTCATAAGCTGAGTGAAGTCATGGTCCATGGTTGATAACATGCTCGTACACATACAGAATGAAATAATGCCATTTCATTTTGATCAGTCCCTCAGTTCCAGGTTCATCTCTTCGTCATCTTTCTGTCTTTTGTCTCAGTGGTTACTTTCCCACACAGTCTGTCTGTCTATCTGTTTCAAAGTCTGTGTTTGCTGCGTTTGCAGACCCAGTGACCATCGTCCCTGCATTTGGCACTGGTGGATTTGTGACACTTTACGCAGGTAAACCTGCTGCAATTTCTGTTGCGATTTCATTTCATTCTATTTTCACTCATTTTTTTAAATAAATAAAACAGACGTGTTTCCATATATTTTGTGAATGTGTGTCTTTCATATTTGCAGGTCAGTCAGTGTGTGGGATATTTTGTATAGATATGGCAGGCTTTTGTGAAGGTTTCCATGTCACACACATAGGTTTGGCTGCCTTGGATTTGAGCTACCAGTCTGCGTAAATGCAAATGTGCCAGGGTTTACAGGTGATTAGTGTGTTTGCACAACAAAAGCAGGAGGACAATGGCACTGATGGCCTGTGCAAATCTGCACAGGCTTAGTAGTGCTAGGAAATCTACACAAATTTGCGCAGGCTTAATAGGTCTTAAGGTAGGAAGAAGAAAATAAGAGGATATTTTGTTCAATTTGGTATTACAGAAGTAAATCCTATATAACTTTCGGAGTCCTATCTTATCTCTTAAGGGATTAACTGTGATATACTAAAGCGCATCAAACATGTCATCTATATCGACATGACAGAGTTTACAGAGGGCATGGTATTCATCTTTCCTGCTCTTACTTGCAAATTGGTGTTGTAAACTTTGGTCAGCTGGCTAGAGTGAGATTTTCCATTCGAAACAAGTCTGCATACACATGCACATGCATCTTACATGTATGTAACAGTTCTAAATAGTGTAATAAAAAGTCAGGGTTTGCAAACTACCCCAACGCTTTTGATGTATATAATGTTAGGTCTATAACGGAATAATATAGATTTGCCATAAAATTTCTTGCGTGAACGTGAGAATCTGAAAGTGTGAGTGTCACGGCACACGTGTGAGAGTCAGGTTGCAGTCTTTTGTTTTGGCTTTTGTAATTGTTATTCGCTTTTGATGTATATGTCATAACACTGTAAAGTATGTGGAAGGAAGCCGAGAACAGGCGAGCTTGCAATTGCTATTTTTTAATGCCATTGTATCGATATAATTGCAAACACGGCCGCCCTTGGCTTCCGTAGTGTGTGTGCGTGGGGGTTTCTCATTTTTTGTGGGACCAAGGGGTGGGGAGAGAAGGGAAAAGGAGAACAAAGGGGCAAAAAGGAGGACTCTAAACAGCGGTCTGGACAGAGGGCTGGAAACCAGACTGTCTGGACGAAATCTGGTCTAGCAGATACCCTACTTGGAGTGTAGGCCTATTTTCTGACTCACTCCTATGGTGCCTTGGACAGAAATGTCTACTAAATAAATAAAGAGATAAATAAATAAATGTACATGCCCTTAAAGTGTTTATTGAGGAGGCAATTGAAGTATAACTTAAGTGTACAGGAGTACAGGTTTCCCCATTATCTGAAAGTAGAGCATTCATATGAAGCATTTGGTAAGCAACAATTACCATTAATTTATTTGACGAAAAATTGAACTTTCCCCACACTCAAAAAAATAACCTACCAAAACACACCAGTGGCCTGTACTACTAAGGGGGTTTAACCAAATCAGACTTAACCCTGAGGTAATTTGCGAACGCGAGTTTCACAAAATCAGGTTGACTCCATCGGGGCTAATCAGTACTACGACGCCAGTTAAGAAGTTGATTTGTTAAATCGGTGTTAACTGCATTGGAGTTTGTGCGCATTCACATATATGGAGCACGTTCGGCAACGCAAGGCATCGTTTGACTCATAGCGCGACCTCCATATGTTTCACGGAGGAAGACTGCATGCTAATTAATTATGCAGGGTTATGAGGAGTTTAAATCAATGCTGTAAAGAAAGTCCAATACCACTGCAGCCAACAAAAGCAGGCAGGCTTGTTGGCAACGTATTGATGACGTAGAAAATGCACACGTACATTTTCACGGTCATAAAACGTGGTCTAAAATATCTCACGACCGAGTATTAGAAAATGAAGTACGTGTTTTCTGAAAAGAATTGAAATACTGTTAATAATTACAGAGGCTAACAGATGCGACACAATTCAGAAGTTACCTATTATATGCTGCTAAGTAATGTAATTAATGCTCCCTGAAGTTCCATTACTGTAATGTTAATCATAATGTAAATCTAATGTTAACAATAACTGATCCGATTTCAAATGCAATAGTAGTGGAAAGCGTACGTGGCAGCAAGTAAAGATGAAATATAAAAACATCATGTCAAGTGATATAGGGCTATGTATTTATATTTCTACTCATTATGAAAGATTTGTTGTGTCTAGCCTCCACTTAATAGCGTGTTTCTATGTTTTACAGCTAATAATAAAAAGGTGTCTGTTCATATGACACTTAATAGAAGGTGAGCCATTGTTTAACAAACAATTAAATGATTTAAAACAGGACAAAACAGAAGCATATGTGTAGTGAGAAAACGATCGACTAGGAACCTTACCTGTCACCGCGGTTAAGTTAGCCTCATATTCCATATTCAGTTTTCTGGCTTTAATAACTTGACGGAAGTAAGGTGGGCGTTTTTAATGACAGAATTGCGATGTCCAGTGCACAGACATCGATGCACACCAATTATTTTTTCGCTTCAAAACATTTTGTGATTTGTGCCAAATCATGTTAATGGCTAATATAATAGGTCCTTTCAGCTGTAACGACATATGGTGGTTTAGTATTTTGGGCTCATGGCGACTGTTGCACACCCCTTTGTTTCCCAGATTGCTTTACATGCGAATTTTAATTAATTTTTGAATGTTCAAATGTATCCGTGTACTGTGCAGTCGACAATACATGAATGGGTTAATAACTTTAAAATATATAGACAAGACAGGCACATCTAGTTACGTGTGCTTTGATCAGTGGACCACAGGGAACAATGCACACCCCTTGGGTTTTCAGAATAACTTTCTCTGTAACAGTTATTAATTAATACATTGTATGCATATTATATGCCATTGCTCCATTTCATACATATTAACAGAGAGAGCCCCTCACGATTCGTGCGCCAATGTCGTACGGATCATCCAGGTACGCAGGTGTTCTGTCGAAAAATACTACCCATCGAGACGTGCTATCGAGCCTTTCTGCGCATGTGCAGTTCCACCGTTTTGGGATTAGGGTTAGGTTTTAGGGGTTAGGGTTAGGGTTAAGGTAAGGGTTTTAGGGGTTTTGGGGGGTTAGGGTTAGGGTTAGGATAAGAGTTAGGGTTAGGGCTATCGATTAGCACTACGGTAGCATTTTTCGACAAGGTAGCATATATCGACAGAACACCGGCATTGTCTTCGGAGAAATTGTAGTGGTCGGGGCGGTGCTCATATAGGGCTGGCTTACGCGGAAATCTCGACTTAACTAAGAACAAAAACTGCTTGGAGCAGTTTTGAGACTTAGCGTAAATCGCCATAGCAACATGTCTCGACTAAAACCTACCCACCTTTCGTAGTACGGGTTAATCGCGAAGTTACACCACACGTCATCAAGTTACTCGCAAAGTTACCCCGATAAGCCAGTTACCCCGCTTCGTAGTACAGGCCCCAGGTAGCACATAATACCGAAAATAACATTAACATATATTAAAAGTGGAAACACAGCCTATATAAAGTAGAAATCATGTATTTACAGTGTAATTTTCACTTAGAATCAATTCCTGTGTCGCTTAAGGACAAGGATAAGATCCAAGAAATGTGTCATTGTGAGAACAGCATAGTGTACTCATACAATCCTAGATGGTATAGCCAACTACATACCTATATGATATAGCCTAAAAAATGATAAAAATGTACAGTATAGTGAATACATAAACCAGTCACATAGTTATCATTATCAAGCATTATGTACTTTGCAGACCCCCACAATCTAGAAAAGCTGTGTAAAATGTTTTTGTCAGAAGCGCCGTCGAGCAAGCAGGAAAACAGGAGCAGGGAGACGGAAAGTCGGGGAATCCGGGGTTTATTAAATCGAAGAAGCAGACGAGGCAACACACGGCTAACGACGTCATTGACAGGACTGGGAAAACATACTTGAACGCGGACTTAAATACAAAGACTCAATTACACAGGATTGAAAACAGCTGGTGAACATAGGGATTCCACACGAGGTAAACGAGGGGGGCGTGGCACACAGGAGGATTGTACAAGCCAAGCGTGATAGTTTTGAACCCCTTGGAGAGACATGATCCAAGTGTCACTTCGAAGTATCACGTGAGAGGCCGCCGCACACACGCGTGGCATCCTTCAAACCAGCACCGTACATATAGGCTACTGTACGCTTTCCAGATGTTCAGTAATGAGTTTTAATTTCTCCTTTAAAGACATTCTCTTTGTGGTTTTTGATTACAAGAAGGAGAAAGATGACATTTATTTTATGCAGAATACGCTGCCACTGGAGATTAGAACGGCCCGGTCCTTAGCTAGGCCTAACTCTAAGTCTCTGTTAAAGAATCTTTTTTTTTTCATTAGCTTTAATACGAGTTGTGGCTGATGTGTTGATATTTAATTTATTTTATTTTTTATCTACATTTATGTGATAAAAATGACCTTGACCATAACCTTATAATAAATAAAAAAAAATTTTTGGCAAATTTTATATTCATAAATTTTCAGAAATGACCTATGTTCTGTTCAATGAAAAAAAATAAAACAAACAATGTTTTGTGTGTCGTCTGCAGTATTTGAAAGCTCACAGCTATTTCAGTCTTTGAGCAGAGCTGTTAGCATCCCACTCCTGGCACAGTAAGAAGAAGAAAAAAAAACTGTCAACTTGTTACGTCACAGCAAGAAGGCGAGCAGGGAAACAGGGAAAAGGAGCCAGGAAGTCAAATAAACGGGGTTTTAATCAGATGACAGGACCGGGGGAAGCACATGGACGAACATCAATGACACATCTGGGGAATACTGACTCAGACGAGGACTAAATACAAAAGACGAGCTAAGGGTAACGAGCAACAGGTGAGAACAATCAGGCAGAAACAGGAGGTAACGAGGTGGGCGTGGCACACATTAGGATCAGACAGAGCTGGGCGTGACACAACTACAGGGAGGATAGAAAATAGCACATGGCATTATGCACTTTTAATGACACAATAATAGAATGACCTTCTCTTATATCACCTAAATGTGCATTTTTTTTATGTAATAGCCTCTCTATCAATGAATCAGTGTTTCAGGGGGTTTATTTGGGTGGCATTGTGGACCAGTGGGTCGCATATCACCTCACACCTTCAGGACTGAGAGTTTAAACTCCATCGGCACCTATTCAAAAAGTGCTGTATAAATGGGTCAAAGTAAAAATAAATAAATAAGTAAATACATTTGAAAAAGCCTTAGTATGACCCTACACTAAGTGGGATTACTGACCCACCATGCATGATATTATAAATTAGTAATAGTATTATGATCATGCATTGAGATGACTGACTAGTAATGGGTAATAGTAATGGGTATTAATACTAGCTAAAAATTATCCTATTTTGGCAAATGGTTAATATGACCAACTGTAATTCCATTAATTTATAATTATTTCCATTGGAAAAAAATGTTTTTTACTTCATCATCCATCTTACAAATACTGGTCCTAGTCAGGGTCGCAACGGTGCCTGGAGTCAATCTCAGGCAGCACAGGGAACAAGGCTGGGGAACACTGCGTGGCACGCCACTCCATCACAGGGCATGTAAAAGCACACAATCATACACTGCAAGCAATTTAGAGGTGTCATTTAATCTAACTACAAATCTTTGGATTGCAGTAGGAAACTGGAGTACTAAGAAGAACAGCACACAGTACAGGGAACATGCCAACGTCACACACAGAGTTCAGATTCAAACTCCCAACTGTAGAGGTATATGCTAAGTACTCACTGAGCCTCCATGGCACCCATTGTAAGGCAATTCTTTTGTATAATGTTCTTACACAGTGTAAATCCCTGTATTGTGGTTCCTTGAGCATACTATTACATTTTTCTTTAGTTAGTTTCAGAAGCCCATCTCTGAACACACCTTGTTGTTTTTATAAATAGTTCAACATGAAGTTGACAGCAGTTTTAAGGAAGTGTCATGCAAGAGTCAGATTCATGTGTAATGTTACTGAATTGTGCAGCCTATACTTTTTCGAAATGATCCATAAGTAAACATTTTACTAAAGACGCTTCTAATTTTGTACTTTTTTAAGAACACGCATATTTTAAAGCACCGAAAGCATCAATAAGGGCATTTAACTTGACTCTTACATCGAATGTCATGGACATATGGTAAATGTAAAAAAGAGTGGTGAATGCGTCCGCTTTAGGCATCGCTGCTAATTGCAATGCACTAGCGTTTTGTTTTCCATACACCTGAGTAATAGCAGACAGAACGTGTTATAAAATGTAACCTTGTGATGGTTACAACGTTTTCATAAATACAATGCGGTGAAAGTAATAAGAAACAAACAGCCCCCCATTCCTAGCTTCCCAATTCTGGGCCGTGAGAAGGACGTCACTTCCTGAGAGAGCATGTCAGGCGCGCGCGCCGTGGCCGATTTTACCATATATGGATAAAGGCGCGGCGCGCGACACTTTCTTCCGCGTTGGTGCCGCTGGGCGAGTCTGGGCCGAGTCGGCGGTGCAGGGATCTGAGCAAGGAGTCTGAGCACGGAGGCTCTACTGACTATTCATCCGTACGAAGAGCTTATTGCGGCGCCTGTCAGCATGTCGTACGAACTGAGTAAGTCGCCGATCGGTTGGCTTACTGTATACCACACATCGTGATCGATACTTGCAGTATGTAAGCGTTATGTACCCCGGGCAGCAGTTACCGGCCGAGCGGACTCCGGAGGAGCTAGGAGCCTCGCCCTGTCGGATAACTTCTTGGTGGGATTTGCAGACTGCATGCGTGTCCGACCGGCGAGGTTTCGTAACCCCTCTGCCAGATCTCTCGCACCCCCGTAAAAACAAAACAATCCCGGCCATTTTTATTTAGATCGTCAGCCCACTGAAATTGAGTCGAACCGATTGGCATTTGTTACAATGCGGAAAAGTGCGGACCTATTCCTGCCTGTTCAGGTGTATTATTTTCAGTTAACATTCACGCCCATGAAAAAATGGTGCTTTTCTGCAGAGCTTCTGCGAATTGGTCCCTCGGCTTTGATCAGAGAATGAAAGTAGCGGTCATCCGATGTGGTCTCCACAAATGCCATCGTTTATGTATTTTAGTTCCTTGTAAAGAGGTCTGCGAGGAAACGGGGACTTTTTAAATATCTTCCGGTTGCCCCGGTTCCTTGAGCTGCCTTCAGAGTTCCCTGGCTATCATGAAGAGTTTTTCTGGGATTTCCACCGCTGTAATGACACAATTTAGCTTCTTGGCTGAGTGTGAATACCTCCCATTTGCTGTGTTACACATCCAAATGTGCATCTTCAATTAACTCTGCACTTTTTTGATAACTTGGTTTGGCTGCATTAAGAGCTGTCATTTTTGAAAGCACAGATACAGCGAGAGGAGCCTGGGCACCTTGACTGCTGCTGATGGGTCACTTTGATGCCTTGATTTTTGATGATGGTCCTCCTACTCTTTCCCCTTTGTACCCAGAGAAAGTCTTTGCCAGCCTCCCCCAAATGGAGAGGGGTGTCTCCAAGACCCTTGGAGGTGACCCCAAAGGAAACAACTTCCTCTACACCAATGGGAAGAGTGTCATCATCAGGAACATTGATGTAGGCAGCTCGGCCGCACTTCTCTCTGCTCTGGACACCAGTCTCTCGAGCTGGAATGGGCATGTTTTTTTAAGATTGATATTTGGAGGTGACAGGGCTTTATCTCTCCTATAAAGTATGACAGGTGGTCACTTTATGCGGATCTCAGCATTGCTGAGGGGGATGAGTGAATGCAATGTATCACTTTTTAATTATAGGTCTGTATGGTCACTGCCCCCAAATTAACTGCCTTCACCAATGCCCTGCTGTATGTTTTATTTAAGCTGTTTTTGTCTCTAATGGTATAATAATGATGATAATGATAAATTAGTGGTAATAGTAATATGATCTTCAGCCGTTGTTAAAGGGCTGTTTAATTTTGCTGATACGATTCAAGTTGAGCTCTGCTTGAGTTCTGTCAGAGTGTATACGATGTAATTCATTCCCGAGTCTCTGATTATTCATTAATTACCTGTCTGTCGCCATTGGATAACGTCCAGTTTGTGTTCTAGAATCCTGCCATCGCAGACATTTACACGGAACACCCCCACCAGGTCACTGTAGCCAAATACTCCCCCAGTGGCTTTTACATTGCGTCTGCAGGTAGGGTAGGCATGCTGTGCGCTTGTGGCTTGTAATTCTGCTGTTTTGTTGTAATCACCACACCTTAGTGTTTCTGAATCTCTGCTTGTTTATCTGATGAAAGGGCTGTCCAGTCTTTGTGTTTTTGATCAGTTTAAAATGTTTTAAGGGTGACGTGTCGCTCAGTAGGTTGCAGATCTGGCCCCATATCCAGAAGGTTGTTGAAATATATGATTAAGCTGCCAGCCACTTTAAGTTGTTGGTTCTTGAGCAAGCCGTTTAACTCCAGCTGATCCAAGGGGGTTGTGTGCTGGCTAGCCCCAAGAATGAACGAATATGAAACAGAAAATTAATGTACTGTCTCACATCTTAACTCATGCACTTTCTTTCAGTGGTCTTTGTTTAAAACTTTTGAAACTTCCCTCATACAGATATCTCGGGCAAGATCCGTATCTGGGACACCACCCAGAAGGAACATTTGCTGAAGTATGAGTACCAGCCTTTCTCGGGCAAGGTCAAAGACATCGCCTGGACGGAGGACAGCAAGCGAATCGCCATGGTGGGGGAAGGCAGGGAAAAGTGAGTCTTACTGTGGAGACTCCTGCTTTCCGGCCAGGCAGTGGCGGTCTGAACCCTCTGCTGAGAGTCAGTTCAGCACAGATGCTTACAGTCTGGTCAGGCAGTTGCCAGTGTAAATACTTTGAATGAGGGGTTGTCTGTTTTATAAGTATTAGTTTGTCCTAATTTGCCTAGAGGTTACATTTCATGTAGACTTGCTCAGATCGTTTAAAATGCTGTTAAGTGGGTTGTTTCAGTGCAAATAAGGGGCGACCAACTGCGCCAGAGGTAAGTAATGAATACTTTGTAGGACAGTAATGTATTCAGAGCCAGAACAGGGTCTGTCACTGCTCTCCGCAGCACAGGGACATAGTCAGATGGAATGATGAATATTTGAGAAAATCATTCCTAGAAGAGTCCCATAGGGGGCGCCTATTTTAAAACTGCACCGTGACCCAGTAAACCGGGCGCACCCGGGCTTCACACTGAGCCTTCTGTGTCGCTCTTAATCTTTGTGGGATCTGCTGTGCTTTTTCTTTTCTTGACCCAGCTCTGGTGTAGGATTTCTGGCTACGAAGCTGTCTTTGTGTGAGCGAAGACTGTAGAACAGTCAGGGGGAAAATTTGGGCCGGTTTACGTGGCTCCCTGGAGTTGTCCCCTTGTCCCCCTCAAAATTGTCACTGGGTTGTCTTTAGGTCTTGTCCTGTGCTCTCCTGTCAGCTAGCAGATTGCCATGGATTTTTTCATAGTGTTCTCATTCAGTATAGTGAATTTTGAGATTATAAAATTACGTTGTCTCATTTCTGAAGTGGTGTAATAATCAAGTAGCTGAATGGTGGGTTAAGCTGAATACTGCAGCTTGAATTGCAGTAGTAACCCACAGCAATCAATAATTCATTTCTGGTGACGGTTACCTGTAATGAATTTCTTAAGGTGTCTGTGACAGTTGGTGGGTTTATCGCAGGGGATGTTAATCTTATCCGCACAGGGCTGGTGTGTATGCAGGTTTTTGGGAAAACCTTTAGGTCAGCTGGTCACACCTTGGTTTGAGGAGTCTTCAGCCAATCAGTCCTCTAATCTAATTCGGGAGTTGCAGTGAAAACCCCCATACACACCAGCCATTTGTGGGTAAGATTGCCCACCCCTGGTTTATTGTCTGTTTAATTAGCTGCTTGGTAAAACATTCATTTTAATTTTGGTCGGCATGGAAAGCAGCTCTGCCAGATGAGGCCCTCCCCAGTGTGGTGTTGACAGGCCTTTCACTGGAGGGAATTTCATTTCTTCAGAGTGGCCATTTCTGATGTGCGCAGAGGGGGACTGAGAGCAGGCGAGATGGTTATTGTCCCGGCTGTTTCTCACCCCTTGCTGGCAGGTTTGGTGCCGTCTTCCTGTGGGACACTGGCTCCTCGGTGGGCGAGATCTCCGGCCACAACAAGATCATCAACAGCGTGGACATCAAGCAGACGCGGCCGTACCGCCTGGTCACCGGCAGCGATGACAACTGCTCCGCTTTCTTCGAGGGGCCACCCTTCAAGTTCAAGTTCACCATGAGCGTGAGTCATGCCCCCTAAAGGCCGTCTCTGACAGTCATCCATCAAGACTCAATCAAGACTTCTCCTTTCGGTTACAGTGTGACGTTAAACTGTAGCTGTGTGAGGAACCTTGTGGCCTCCAGGGTTGTGGGTTCAACTCCTGCTCTCTGTGATTTGTATGTTCCCTAAGTTGGGCTGGCATCCACTTCCTGATTTCCTGTGTTTCTTGGTATTGGATCTGTTCTCATTGCAGTTTGATGGACGTAGTTCTGAACCAGTCAATGCACAGAAAAGTATCAAGTGAGATTAATCGGTAGTTTCCCCTTTTTTCAGCTTGTATGTCTGGAATGCAACCTGTACCTGAAGGTGTAGAGGATCTGGCAGCTACTGACCTGCTGCGGGGGATGTAGTACAGCTGGTGTAGTACTGAAGTACCACTGCACAGTAATTGTGAGAATGTAGAGCAGTCGAGTGTTTATGGGGGGGAGGGTGCCAGCTGACTGCATTTTGACAGATATCACACCTAGTGACTGACATCGAGGCTGATCCAGCAGTACTGGCTCAGCAGTTTAAGAAGGGGGATGTTTTCTTCCCCTTGATTTTCTGCACTGGCTGCTGTTGTTCGGAAGCTTCCGGGCTCAGGGCCAGTCCTCAGCGGGCCTGCTGGGTGGGCTGTGTCTACCAGACAGGCCTTGATAAATAATGTCTCCTACTTTCGGCTGGTATCCACAGCCCACAGACAGAGGCCAGCCCGGCCCTTTGAAGGAGTCTGCCACAAGAGCGCCCCCTTCTGGGGAATCTCCTTTTAGCGCTGGGGTGTCAAACTCCAGTCCTGACGGTCCAGAGCCCTGCACATATTTGGGTTTCCCCTTAACACACCGGATTAAACTCCTTTTGCTAATTGCCACACAGCTCTTGACCCAGGCTCCTGTGGTGCAGAGAGAGGGCGCTCCCTTCTGGGGAATCCCTCCCCTTAGCGGAAGCTGAGGACCCAGGCTCCTGTGGTGCAGAGAGAGGGCGCTCCCTTCTGGGGAATCCCTCCTCTTAACGAACGCTGAGGACCCAGGCCCCTGTGGTGCAGAGAGAGGGCGCTCCCTTCTGGGGAATCCCTCCCCTTAGCGGACGCTGAGGACCCAGGCCCCTGTGGTGCAGAGAGAGGGCGCTCCCTTCTGGGGAATCCCTCCCCTTCACGGGCGCTGGGTGTTATTAAACATTGATGGAGTGCGCCGTGTAACGGGACACCCTGTTCTTAGGTGTACACGGCCGTGTTAATATGCATGCATGTTTACAAAGGGCTGCTCTGATAAAAACAGGATCCATTCTGTCTCTGTGCCTCTCTTTAAAACGCATCGTCCTCCGTGAGTCAGATGGACCCTGTAGCAGCCAGCTGTGCTGGACTGAGGCGGCGTGGGGGGGCAGTGTCTTTTTTTTTTTTTTTTTTTTTTTTTTTTTTATTAATTAAATGGACTGACTTTGGATTCCTGCCAACCCCCCAGGATCACAGCCGGTTCGTGAACTGTGTGCGCTTCTCTCCGGATGGCAGCAGGTTCGCCTCCGCAGGTGCGGATGGACAGGTGAGCCCCCCCCTCCCCCACCCTACCCTACATGCACTGCTCACCCTTCAATCAATCCAGACATAGCATTATGTAGCTGGATATTTCACTAGATTTGCTCAGCTAAAATGTCATGGTACAAAAATGTTCCCCTTGTAAAGCTTGACGCTAGCTCAGTTTGCAGGGTGCCATTAATTATACTTCCAGGACCCCCCCAACCAAAAACTACAGTAGCACCATCCTTTCTGTGCCCGTTGATCTTAGGGAGGAGATGTAGCTGCAGATGTTTCTCTATATGTCAGCAAAACCCAAGACCACACTAAATGGGCCGTGTGCTCACTGGGGTCCCAGTAACCGGACAGGGAATTAAAAACACCCCCCCCCCCCCAACTCTCTTGGCTAACCTTCTGAGGCATGACACACACGGAAGGCTAAAGAAACAGCTCATGTAAAACTGGGCATTCCAGTTACTCCTGCAGACAGGAAGTGGTCTGAACCCTTAAAATGATGGATGTTAGTTCAGATCCCCAAATGCATGACTTCAGTAACTTTAAATCTGTCTCTAAATGTGGAAAACAAAGGATTTCATATAGAAGCCTGTTGACGAGATAATTAGCTGTGCGTTTCGGACGTTGTTAATGTTTTCTTTTGTTCCGTCTCCAACCAGATTTTCCTCTATGATGGAAAGACGGGTGAGAAGACAGGAGCGCTGGGCGGTGCAAAGGCGCATGACGGTGGCGTCTACGCGGTGAGTGTGCAGCGCGGCCTGCTGGGGGCGCTCCAGGCTGCCGCTGAGTGCTCACAAAATTCCTGACCAACCAGGTGCCCTGACTTAGAACTGACAAGGAGACCGGACCAAAATCTTGTTGCATTCGGTTTGGAGTTTCGTTTCTAGATGGTCAGAGATGGACAGGAGGCCGGATTGGTGGGGAGTCACCAAGCTATGTAGAAGCTTCTCCAGATGAGTGCTGGGCCTGGTGTTGCAGGTCACAGCCTGTGGGGGGCGTGATGGAGGCCACATTTGCTGTTTGGTCCATTCTGAAGGAGCCAAGCTCCTCGTTTGTTCAGGATATTGATGTTTCATCCTCCAGAAGTGATAAATTCACTAATGGAGCAGAAACGACCTGCGCGTTAGTTCACAGTCAAGAGGGAACAGATGCACATGAGGCCTTCCCCTCTTTAAAAATAGTTTGGTTGGATAGGTCACTACCCTTGGTATGTGTTTATGTTGGCATGTACCACCTCTTTCCTGAACCGGGGGCGTTCCCACCATGATAAGTCAGCATGTTGACCTACTTCTGTACAGTAGTTAATGTAAATATCCAGTTGAGGCCTTCCTGTTCAAATTATGGGTGCAGGGTCTTTTTGTGTGTGCTCCTTATATGAACAACACTGATACTTCAACCTTGCTGGGTCATGTCCTGTATTGGTACAGTACATGCAGTCTTTTGCAATGATTCATCATGGATTAAAATTCTGTATTTCTCCATGGTGTGATGTCATTTGTATTCCTATTGCCCCCCTCCCCCTATAGATTACATCTAAGAGGGTTAGGCAGATGAGATAAAATGTAGTAGGTTGACTGATCATAGCTAGTGGCAGTGAGCAGTACCAGTGAGCAATAGCAGCTGCTGTGACAAACCCTGTTTTGTTGGCATGCTGATCCGGACCCGTGTGCAGGGTATACCGCCTGCTTGGCTGCCACAGGCTCTATTTGTGGGCAGAACAGCGTCTGAATGAATCCCTGTGCCACCTATGAAAGCCCTTGCCATCCTTGGTGGGACGTCACTGGGGTGACATGATGCTCTCCTGTGTTTGCTGTGTCATGCATTGCTCCA